AGTATATTAAGTGTAAAACTTTAAATTATAGAACAAAGTTTATAGTAAGTTATCTTTATGTAGGAGAGGTGTATAACTAATGTATTTATATGTATGTCTGTTTGCTTATAGTTTTAAAAATATCTTTTCAAAAAATAGTGAAGCGATAAGGCAAACTTAATAAGCATATTTATGGGGAAGGAGAAAAATGAGATAAGAGGACAAAAATGGAAGTACTTTCTGTGAAGTGAAAACCATATAACAGTTTTCACTTTAGATCCATACATTTTATGCAGTTGAACAGCCAAAAGGGGGAAAGGGCTGGCAGATGCAGTATAGAATGCCTGCTTAACATGTACAAGACCCTGGGTTTAATCTCTAGTATCACAAAAGAGGGAAAATCCATAAAATGTAAAGCAACCTGAAACAAACAAATGTAATGATAAAGTTGGTAGTTTAACCACACAAAGAAAACAAGGGACCAGCAAGATAGCTCAGCAGTCTAAAGTGCCTGCTTAGGCAAGCGCAGGGACTACAGTTCAATCCCAGGCACCACATGCTGCACCAGCCCCACCTCCAGGACGGGCTGAGCCAGCCACCAAAAAAAAATCAATTACTTATACTACCTTTAAAGTAATAATTATATATTCTAATAAGGTACATTCTAAACAAAAGTAACTGGAAAGAGTATAAAACTGTATTCAGTAGCTTTAAAGTTGCTGATAATAGTTTTGTTTTTGAAATTTAAAAGTTCTATACAGTACATATATTATAGGAAGAAGCTTATAAATCATTTTGATAATATTAGATCTAATATCTTGAGTGAGCATACAGGAAACACAACTGAAAAATCAAGATGCCGCAAGGAGTTTAAGTAAAAAACTTTGTAATCTTAAATCTGAATTAGAAATACTGATGTGAACTCATGATCTATTTTAAACAACTGTCCTAGCTTTTTTCACTGTAAATTCTAGAGCTAACAATTGCATAGTAGTGAGCACACCTAGCAACACTGTGGTTTCTAAATAGTACGTCTTATGAAAAAAGAAGCAGGAGTCCTTGGAGAAGTATTCTGTGTTTGGGTTAGAAAATTACTCTTATGGTTGATAAAAAGTATAAAGGAATCAAGCATTTATCCTGCCTTTCCTGTATAAGGGCTGTTTAGGGAAACCAAATAGTTGATGATAAGTTCATTATGTAAATCCAGATAATAAATACAAATAAAGTAACATTAGGAATGCCCCATTTTGCAACTCAATAAATTAATAAATAATAGATAATCCTCATCAATGGATATGAAACTCATTGGTGAAAAGTGAATGGGAAACCATTATAATGGAGGTTTAAATTACCTGAACTTAATTCCAGCATCACAAAAAATGGGATCACAAAACAATGTACTTTATGGCATGTATATTAGTCACTTTGTCCCATTACTGGGACAAATTACCTAATACTTGCAAATTTTTAAGAAAGGAGTTTATTTTGGACTCATGGTTTCCAGTGGGTTTAATCCATGACTGAATGGCTCCAGGGCAAAACAAAATGGGAGGACATAATAGAGAAAAGTATTCATCCCACAACATCCAGGAAGTAGAGAGAGAGGGAGGAACTGGGGACAAGAATACACTCCCCAAAGTCATGACCCCAGTAACATAATCTTCTAGCCAGGCCCCTTATAGAATAGATTTAGAGGGGAATTTAGATCTAAAATACAGCATTTCAACCTCAGCTCCCAAAAGGTTTATGTTTATTTCCTTGTGCAAAAATGCATTTAGTCAATCTCTAAGGGTTGTGAAAGTTTTAACATTTCTAGCATTACTGAAAAGTCCAAATTCAATGTCTGCATTGAAAGTCAAGGCAAACTTTTAGGTGTGAGCTCTTATAAAAATAGAAAACAAAGTTAAATATCTCCAAATACAGTAGCACAGGACAAACATTCTCATTCCAAATGAGAGGAATAAGGGGTATGGAAAGAAATTAGAAAAAAGCAAGACAGAAACCCAGCATGGCAAAAATTAAATCCTGTAACTCCATGTCCAATACCTAAAGTAGCTGATGGTGAACTGTAAGTTCCAAAGGGCTTGGGCAACCTTACATCTATAGCATTATTGTAGCCCACATGGCTTCGCTCTTGAGCCAGCTCTATTTATTGTGTTGCTTTCCTCAGTAGATATTCCATAGTCCTGACATCTCCAACTTTTCTGCACCTTTAGGTTCACTCTCACAATTTTATGCATCACTGTTACAGGGCCACATTGGCTGGCCTTTCAGGGATTTCTCTGAAGTATGAGTAGCTACATGAAGCTACGACTATTGCGTTCTGCCTACCTGAGAAACCAGCACCACTTGAGTGATATGAAGATCTACCATCATCCTAGTTCCCTTAGACCACAACTGCAGAGGCCTCTTAGTGTCTGGATGGCCAAACTCAGGAATATACTTCCCTAGGCAGCCATGAATGAGCAGAGCACCTTGCATCTCTTTTAAAGTAATCTTTCTAAAGTGTTTACCCTTTACACCCTTGAGTTTGCAAGGGGTGTGGACTGACCATTTCCTGACATGCCCTCAACATATCTTTCCTATTGCCTAATATAAAATACTTGGTTTCTTTTTAGTGCTAATCTTTTTGCAACCATAATCTCCTTTGTCCCAACTTTGCAGGTACTTCTTTTCTAGAAAAACTGTAAACTTTTTATATCACTAGCTTTACTTTTTCCTCCTGATTCTCATTATAGATCAGGCTAACAATCACCCAGTAATACACATGCCACACCCTGAACATTGGGCTGCCATGTAATATCCTCCACCACATTAACTAGTATACTACCTTTAAATTCAGCCTGACCCAGAGCCTTAGAATATGGACCAAATGAAGGCAAATTATTATTTTTTTATAGTCTTATTGTGCAGCTTGGACTCGTAGTGATCTTCCTGCCTCAGCCTCCCTAGTGCTAGGATTACAAGCATGCACCATCACACCTGGTTCTGGGCCTGCATGGCATGCCCAGGATTCTGGTGCATGCACAGCATGAGGATACTGGCGATCTAACTGAGGACCTTGCACTTGTCAGGTAGGTGCTTATGCCACCAAGCTATCTCCCCAGCCCCAAATTCTTAATTTTTATTAATACATTTTAATATATAATTACTACATTCATAATTGGGAGTTGATACATATGCATATCACATATTAATCCTTGTTACTACCCCTTCCCCTCCACTCTGCCTCCATCCTAAGGCCCCATTCCATCTGCAAAAGTTCTCATTCCCTTTCCTATAAGCTGTCATTTATTTTGTTCTTTGTCTTTACGTTGCCGTGTGATATTTAATTTTCTGTGTCTGATTTATTTCACTTGGTATTATGCGAAGACAAACTGTTTTCTAGGCTGTGATATCCATGTCCTCAACTCTAGGTTCTAACAGCATCCTCATTCCCATCTGAAATTTCATGAGCCTGGCCAATAGTGTCCTTGCTCTTAAGAGCATTCTGATCCTCTGTGCAAACACCAGGTTCTCCGGTGAATGTATGTTTTACAGTATTCTAAGTCTTCTCTATGTGGATTCTCAACATCTCCACAAACTCTCACAAACCAGTTCCAAAGAACTCTGAAATACATGATGAGGTCTGTTCACAGCAACAATTGCACTTCTGTTCTACTAGTTTTCTGTATTAGTGAGTTTCCTTTTCTTGGGGCAAAATAGCCAAAACCTAATTTTTTTTTTTCGGAACCAGGGATTGAACTCAGGCCCTTGTGCTTGCCAGGCAAGTGCTTATTCTACTGAGCCTTCTCCCCGACCCCAAAAACCTAAAATTAAAAGAATAGAGACATAGGGTTTGGGGGAGATAGCCCAGCAGCACAGCTCCTGCCTGGCAAGTACAAGATCCTGAGTTCAATTCCCAATACAAAAAAAAAAAAACCAGATTTATTTTGGTTCACAGTTTCCAGTGAGTTCAGTTCATGATTGGCTAATTCCAAGGCAAAACAGCATGGTGATAGAGCATGACTAAAGAAAGCTGCTCCCCTCATGGTGTCTATGAAGCAGAGATAGGAGGAACTCCAGACAAGAATACAACCTTTAGTATTAGCCCCCAGTGATCCATCTTCTTCAACAAGGGCCCACTTCCAAGCATGAGTCTTTTGGGGAACATTTTAGGTCTAAACTATAACAGCATGCTACACATGAAGTATACATGTATCTATGAAAGATATTTGCCTAAAAATGTTGAACATGAGTCTAAGCAGAACTTTAGATCTGCACTGTTAAATACAACTTTCTGAAATTATATAAATGGTCTTTATCTGTTCTGTCCAATATGGCATCCACTAGTCACATGTGGCTATATTGAGCATCTGAAATGTACTGTTTGATTGAGAAAGTGACATTAAAGTTTAAATAGATATATATGTCTAATGACTGCCATATTAAATAGCATAATTCTAACTGCAAAGGAATAGAGAGGACTGAGAAAAATTTAAACAGTTTAACACCATCAAGAAATAATCCATCAAATTCATTTATTCATATACCAAATCAATAGTTGGGAGAGGAAAAATACTTGGGTGGATAGGAAGAAAGGACATTGTTTCAGAATAAAAGGGATTTAAGAGATGTTACTAAGTAACAATGAATTTAGATTCTGAATAACCAAGTATGAAAAAATATCTTTGAGGTAATCAAGATAATATAAATATGAAGTTGCTGATAATGAGGAATTATTAATTTCATGATTTGTAATAATACCATACTGCTTATATGTTTCAAGTGTCCTTATCAGTGAGTAGAACATACAGTCTTGCATGATCCTGAGATTCCTAGGTGCCTCACTTGCTCACCATCATTCTGGCTTTGCTTGAGATGCACTGAAATAAGATAGCTATATACTGTTATTTGTCACAGGTTGTAAACACCTTTCCTAGCAGAGTTTTGATATCTGAAATCTAGGATTTAATCTTTGTTTGTCAAAGCTTGTACTAGGAGGCTCTGTAGAACTTCCCTATCTCTTTGTCTTGATCCAGATGAACCCCAAAAGAAGAACAAAGGTGATCCCATGAACAACCTGGAAAGTTTTTACCAAGAGATGATAATGAAAAAACGTCTTGAAGAGTTCCAAGTTATGAGAGGTGAACCTTTTGCTTCACACTCACTGGTCTCAGCTACATCAGTGGGTGACAGTGGCACAGATGAGAAAGCATCATTACTCCTGAACAAGGGAAAACAGGCAGCACAGGGTAAAGGTGCCAGTCTCCATGTGGCAAAAGTTATTGATTTTTCACCTGAGCGGTGTTGGACTGAGCCTAAGAAGCTGACGCAACCAGTAGAACTTGTCCCAGAAGATGAGATCCAAAGAAATCGTTTGTCAGAGGAAGAGATCCGAAAAGTTCCTATGTTTTCTTCATATAATCCAGGGGAACCAAACAAGGTATAGGCTAACCCAAGAAAAACAACATGAGATGTGTCCATTGTTTTAACCCCTACCTAAAGTAATACTTCAAAATTGGCTTTGATTTAATCAAAGATCATGACATAGACATAGTGATTGTGTTTGTCCTTGATCTTGACTATTCATTCTCTGCATACTACTGGTATATTAGTAGCATATTTTTATGATGTTCTTTGTGTATTCTTAGATGCTGATCTACTCTTAGAATTTTAAAGAAATCTTGATCATACTCATTGTATACCTGTTGGAATTTCTGAATTAAAGGAAAAGTAACCTTCAGTTTCCAAGTCTAGTAATAATGAAGTTGTATTCATAGAGCCACCATAAGTGGTAGACCAGCCAGCCAAATAGCTCAGGGCTGGCCAAATAGCTCAGTGGATTAAAATGCCTGCAAATAGGCGCAGGGGCCGGGGTTCGAGCCTCAGAACTGCCATGCTGGCCCTGCCCCCGGGGTGCGCTGAGACTGTAATTGAGACTGGGCGTGGTGGCGCGTGCCTGTAATCCCCACTCTTGGGACGCTGTAAACTGGAGAATCACTATGAGTCCAATCTAGTAGTGAGACCCTGAACACCTTGTAGACCCTTCCCTAAAATCCAAAAAAAATTTTTTAAAAACCTAAGTGGTAGCCATGGTGCCTCTGGAATTAGTCAATAAATAATTGACCAACTAACTTCAAGTAAGGTTAATTGTTACTATGTGAGTTTTCTCTTCAGGGTGTTCCACTTGGCTTTAATTTGATATATGACTTAAATTGCTGATTGTAAATCAGTAAAGTGAAAACACAGGTCCTATAAGCTTTGCAGAATTAGCAGAGCTGTAACCAAATAACATGGTATGTAATCCTTGTTTTGTTGATCAACTCATTATTTCACATCCAAGCTGTATGTTACATCTAGAATGGAATATGCTTCATTACCACATTACTAAGAGAGATAATTCAACTCTCCAGAGCAGTGACGGCACACCTTTTAGAGCTTTGAATGATATCAAGACCCTGCTGCAGCAGATGTGTCATAGGTTTGTCACCACTGCCTTAGAGTATTATTTTATAGTGTCTAATTAAAACCAAAACCAAACCAATACACAGTTTCTATCAGTGTATTTTTTAAAAAGCTGTTGTGGGTAACGGATATTAAAGCACTTTCCTTTGAGTGGTTGAATTTCTGATCTGTTCTTACTGTTTGGTCAAAGGTAACTTGATTATTTAATTTACTTTTCATTATAAAATATTACTAATAGGCCAAAGATTTATAGAATAATAGTGAATACCTTTGTAGAACTCCAGTCATATTTATCATTTAATAATCTCTGTATTTGCTTAATTTAAAAAGAATATATCATTGTAGATATACCTAAAGACACCCATATAGTACTCACCAATCTTGTTTTCTTTTTTCCCTTCTAGATGTAACCATTATTATGAATTTGCTATTTTCATTTTCTTTTACATTTTGTCTTTATATACAGTCGACTTACAATGGCTTAAGTTACATGTTCTTAATTTTGATTGTGTGAGAATAAGCATTGAATAGAAACTGTATTTTGAATTTTGATTCCTTTTTTTCTGAAGATAACAATATGTAGTATGAAACCTTGTGATGTTGACTAGTCACAGCTAGCTCTCATTTAATGTCAGCCATTTGATTACAAGAGAAATCAACTGATACTCTACAGTGTACTATGTTGCTAAGGCATGATTTTCACAGGTTAGGTATATTACATAAATTTTCTTTTTTTTTTAGATAGAGTTGTGCTATATAGAACAGGCTGGTCTTGAATTCACTTATGTAGCCCAGGCTTCCCTCAAACCCAAGGAGATACTCCTGCCTCAGCCTCCTGGGTGCTGGGATCAAAGGCATGTGCTGAAATGCCTGGCATTAAGTACATTTTCACCTTATGATATTTTCATCTTACAGTGGTTTTGTTGGGATATAACCTCATAAGATAAGGGTAATCTGTATTCATAAATAATAGAGTTTTATATATTTTAAAACTATATAGATAATGTTATAGTCTTTCTATAATAATTTTTTCACTCAATATGTTTCAAATTTTAGAAATTTATTTCTGATATAGGGAACTATTTAGCATTGTATTGTACAACTATACCATAATTCATGTTATCCATTTTCCTGAAGATTTATATTTCTTATTACTTTGCTGTAAGGGATAAATCTGTAACATTATTGCCCTTATCTCTTATCATACCTATGTAAGAGTTTCTCCACAACACTGCTTTTCAAAATTAAGTTACAATTAGTAACAACCAGCAATTTAAAAAAATGAAATAGAATATAATATAAAATATCAAAATGTGTTCCATATAATCACTGTTTCTTAAAGATTTTATTTCATGTGTGTAAATTTGAGTGAAGGAAGAGGGAGAGGGAGAGTTGTATATGAGCTACATTATAAAATGCAGTTCTTAAGGCTGATGAGATAGCTTAGCAGACTAAGCACCTGCTTAGGAAAGCACAGGGACCAGTGTTTGATCCCTGGTACCACATGCGGCGGCAGCCCTGCCTCTGGGCACACTGAGCTAGCCACCAAGACTGGGCGAGATGTAACATGCTTATAATCCCAGCTCTCAGGAGGCTGAAAACAGGAGGCTCACTACAAATCCAAGCTGCATAGTGATACCCTATACCAAATACATTTTTTAAAAATGCAGTTCTTCCTGTAGATTTTAGTGAAAAAAATTGGTAAAGGATCGTTTTCTTGTAGCAGTCCTCACTACTGCACACTAGAATCACCTGGAGGTTCTATTAAAAGCACAGGTTCACCCCCAGAATTTTTTACTTACTTGCTCTGGAGCAGAGAAAGAAAATTTAAATTTCTATCTAGTTCTCAACAAATACTAATGCTGCTAGCCTAAGAATGACTCTCTCTCTCTCTCTCTCTCTCTATATATATATATATATATATATATATATATATAGTCATTATGTTGCTATATATATATTATATATATATATATATATAATATATATAGTCAAAGGGTCTCACTACACAGATCAGACTCATAATGATCCTCTTGTTTTCAGCCTCCCAAGCACTAGGATTGCAGGCATGTACCACCACACCCAGAGAAAATGACATTTTAAGAGTTATTGTTCTAGGTTATATTGCCAGGAATAAAATTACTGTTATACTATATATGATATGTATATCTTCAACTTCCAATAAGCAGGAATCTCCCAGATTCTCTTTTACAACTTTGCTAAGACTTGATAGTATTAGGGATTTTTGGAGTTTTTTTGGAGGGGGGAGGGAGCTTGTCCTGTGGATCAAAATTGGACTTTTGCACTGAACTGCATCATCAGCCCTTTTTAATGTTTTTGTTTTGAGACAGGCATGGTTTTACTAAATTGCCTAAGCTTAATTTGTACTTGTGATCCTCCTGCCTCAGTCTCTCACAAACTAGAATTAAAGCCCTGTGCCACCATGCTCAGTTTAGACTTTTAGTTTCATGAATCTAAGAGGTTTAAAAAGGCATAGCATTGTTTTATTTCTAATTTCCAGTGATGTTTACACCTTTTCATACCTCTTCTAGCCTTTGATCAACCCTCTGTTGGTTAGCTTTTTTATTCTTTTGTCCATCATTTGATTGTTTTTTCCCTATTTATTCATGGGAATTATTTTTATATTCTGGATTCAAATATGTACTGTTTTTTTAATGAATATAGTATCTTTTTTATAAGTGGCTCATCTTTTAAACATTGTTTCTGATGTCTTTTATTGAGTAGATATCTTTCATTTCATTGTTGCCTAATTGTTAGTATTTTTGATGGTTTGTACTTTTCTTCTTTATGTTAAGGAAATCTTTCTCACAAATAAGGAAATAAAAATAATCTAATATGAATGGTCAAAAGATATAAACAGGCAATTCACAGAACCAAAAGTATAAATGGCCAGTAACTTAAAAGGAATCTAATTAACAATCAATAAAATGCAAAACAAAATCACAATGCTGTATCTTATATGAACACCAGGATAGTGACATAAATTTAAAGATTAAATATTGGTGAACATATGGAATAATAACTCTAATGTACTGTTGAGGGAATATAGATGAGTACAGCCATTTTCAAGAACATCATGGCAGGCTGGCCAGATAGCTTAGTAGACTAAAGCTCCTGCTTAGGCAGAGTGCAGCAGCTGGTATTCGATCCCCTGCGTGCTATGCCACCCCGAACCCGGGGCGCACTGAGATAACCATTGAGACTGGGCATGTGCCTGTAATCCCAGCACTTGGGAGGCTGAAAACAGGAGAATAAGTATGAGTCCGATCTACATAGTGAGACCCTGTAGACCCTATACTAAATCCATTTATAAAAAGGAACGTCATCAGGTCTGATCTGTGTAGTGAGACCCCGTAGAATTTGAACTAAATACGTTAAAAAAAATAATAAAAATTTTTTAAAAACTAAACTCCAAAAAAAGCACATCATGGCAATATGTAGTTAAATTGAAGGTATTTATATATGATGAGTAAGCATCTTATTTCTGCTAATCTAGAGAAAAGCTTACACATGCACATTAGATTTCACGAAAGCACAGCAACATTGTCTCTAAAGAATATACATGTTCAACAGGAGAATGAACAAAGCATGGTATATTCATAAAATAGAATGCTATAAACACAAAAAAAATAATAGCCATCAACATGGTATGAAATTCAGACATAATTTTGAAAAACAAGAGCATGTTTCAGACTTCCATTGTCAGCTTCAGCATGTCACATGCTTAAAAGATGTCACTTCCATCTTACAGAAATAAAATCTATTGAACAAACTAAAATTGAATGACTTACCTGGACTGATTAGAAAGTTGAATTCCAAGGGCAAATTTTAGCCCTGAAGTCCAGAGAAACACACCATTACAGAAACACATCCCAGTCCTACTTATAAGAATAAAGGTGTGGGAACCATAAAATGTTAGGAACGCTTAAGCAGTAACTTTTAAGCAGTAACTTTGAT